GTTGCTTCCTTCTGGCTGACACCATCGTGCTCTGTGGTAATATCTACCCCAGGAATCACACACTCCACCCGTCCCTGGCCCAGAATTCCCCTGTGAGCCCCATTTGCTTCCTCTGTCTCTTTCTCTTGAGGGAGGAGGCTCATTCTTGCCAGCTGGGGGCCCAGGCCGTGAGGCTGTGTGGGTGTCTGGTGCTCATCGAACACCAACACTATGTGAGGCCCCACAAGCAGATACTGCCCCCTTACCTCCCCTTGGAAATAAATATAAATAAGACATGGCAATGGCTGCAGTAAATTTAAGGAAAAGTAAAGAAATGACTGTAAGACACGGGGACGTGCATAAAAGTGGTTAAAGGGTTATGGGGTGTTACAGAGGACTCAACAAGAGATAGCAGACATGGGCGGCAGAAGATGGATCAAAAGGACCGGGCCTAGAAGAGAAGGCCAACCAAGCTCAGCTCTATTTTCACATTTGGTAAAGCAAGCCTCCCTCACCTCCAACTTCCTAGTACCTCGAAGGGACCAGGCCATGTGTCATACGGCCCCACGGTCAGAGAGGAAGATCTTCTGGAGATCTAAAACCTGCAAAGGCGGCCAGCGGGAGCATGTCAGGGCCAGGGTGGAAACAGGAAGATCTGGCCTGAAATGGACAGGCAGCCATTCTTTCAGGTAAACCAGTCAATCCGCTTCCCAGGCATTTAATCTACATCATTAATTGCTGAGGGAAGTAAAAAACCATTGCCTAAAACAAGGAGCTTGGGTTGTATCCAAATTAACAGCTCAAGCTGTCTGGGTTCCTGTGCTGGCCCTGCCACAACCGAGAATGGCAACCACTTAGAGAAAGTCTAGAATAGGCTGGACATTGACAGACAATATTTCATTTAATTCTCATTTCCTGAAGGATGGAAATCATTAGTTACTTGTCTACAAATCCCTATTACATACTTATCCACAAATAAGGAAACTAAGACCCACAAAAGTTTTGCTACAGACACATAGCCCATGAAGTGTCAGATGCCTGACCAGGCTGGGTCTATCTGCTTCAAAGGGCACTGTGCTCCCGTTTGCAGTACATCACTGTGTGACTTCAAACACATTGCTCAGCCCCTCTGGACCTCAGAGCCTTCACCTGCACATTCAAAGGACTGGATTAAGTGGTTCTGAGAGCCTTCCCTGTGCCTGGAACTCTAGGCATAAATGAAGAAAAAAGCAACTGTGGAAAGCAAGGGTTATACTGTGGGGCAACGCGGGTTTCAGTGTTATGAGAGTTGTGGGAGACGTGGCTGGTAGCAGCTGGAAAAGACAGGAAGGAGGGGGCTGTGGAGGCAGAGGAGGGTGAAGTCAGGTGCGGCACCAGTGCAGGCAAGAAGCCTGGACAGGTCAAGGTTCTTCAGGCTGTCCCGAGGCCATGATCTTAAGAGGCTGAGACACATAGCCCTCCCCCTGGCTCACTCCTGGGAATGGGGCAGAGCTAGCCCAGCCCAAACATAGGCTATTTTTGGTGCTGTGTTGTTTGGAGAGCAACCAGGCCAGAAATAGTGCTGTGAGTTAGTAGGACCCTGTCCTTCCACCCCCAGCTCTCCCAGTGAAATCACCAAGAATCAGGAGGCCTGCTCCAACATTCCAAGGAGCCTGTGTAACTGATAGGAGGCAGTACTCTCCTCCTCACAGGAAGGCTTGGGACAGAGTGTTTGACTGTAAAAGGGATTCTGGAAGAGGGGAAGAGAGGGAAAGAGGGGCTGAGTCATAAAGAGTGGAAAAGAAAGAGTGGGGAAATGGGAAGAGAGCTTATGTGGCTAAGACTTGAGGAGACCTGAGAAAGGAAGGGGCAATAACCCCATAGATGGGGGGGATGAACAAAAGAGATCAAGAAAGGGAAGGTGACACCCTGGCTGGTGTGGCTCCGTGGATTGAGTGTTGGCCTGCGAACCAGGAGGTCGCTGGTTAGATTCCCAGTCTGGGGTGCAGGCCTGGGGTGCAGGCCTGGTCCCCAGTTGGGGGCGTGTGAAGGGCAGCCACACATTGATGTTTCTCTCCCTCGCTTTCTCCTTCCTTCCCCTCTCTAAAAAATAAATAAATAAAATATTTTTTAAAAAAGAAAGGGAAAGTGAAAAAGGGCAGGTGGCTGGTATTGGGAGAGCAATGCAGAAGCAAAGGGGGAGAGCCAGGTGCAAGCAAGAGGACAGCTGGAGGGCAGGAGGCGAGGGGCTGGAGGCTGGCTGAGGCCCAGGCGGAACCAGGGCTTCCTGGGACACGGGGGTGTGGCGGGGGGGGGGGCGGGGGAGGTCAGTCATGGAAAGTGTGAGGGTGGTCTAGTCAGAACCACCTGCTGAGGGACAGATGGGGACCTTTCCCGGCTGGCTGGAACTGAAACTTCCCCTGAAATCCACAGCCCTGTAACTCATCCTCTTATCTCTGACTCTCCCGAAATCAGAGATTCAGCTATTTCGACAGCAGGGACTTTTCTCTGTCTGCCATTTGACCCCGTAATAAAGGAACAAAGGCTTGAAAGAGGTGATTGGGTCCGAGGATGTTTGGGTTCAGGGAAAGGAGGGAAAGTGACAGCCCCCTGAGTCAGGCTAGATTCTGAGAAAGGCATTGCAGGCAGTTCTCCTGGGGGTCAGGGCGTCTAGGTGGTTGGGCAGCACCATAATGTGTGGAAGGTCTCCAGAGGACAGACAGGGTTGAAGCAATGCCATTTCACAGAGAGAAGCAGTAGGGACCACAGTCAAGTTTGGTTTTAGATCATCTAGTGGCTTCAGCTCATCAGAAACTCTGGCGTGGGGCTTAGTTATCCCAGGCTTTGCCTCATTTTCTAATATACACACACCAGATGCTTACAAGTCCCTCCAGTTTAGGAAAAGCCCCTTTGCAAGTCAGCCCTTTCTGTTCCCAATGTAGAGTGCCCCCTCTCTCTCCAACAGGACACGGAGCTACTCCCAAGCTCCTGTGCCTGGGAATGGAGTGTCTTTCCTGGAATGGCATCGGGATCATCCATCAGGTCCAGGGGTGGGGACAGAATTGTTCAGAGCCCTGGCAGGGCCCAGGCCATCCACAGAAAATAGCAGGGGCTTTTACAGCTGAAGCCTGGCAAGGCAATGGACAAGGGCTACCGGAATAACCAATGTAGCACAGGAAGGAGGCTCAGCTGAAGCAGCTGGAGAGGCCAGGCAGTGAGGGGCAAGGAGGGAGCACTTTCCAGCTGAGTCTCAACCCACTACTCTTCCAGCTTGGGACTTGGCACACCCAACCTGGCTTCCCAAGCCCCTGTTTCCCTGGGAACCCCAAGGGTGGAAGGCAAGGCATTGGGGGCATTTCTGGGGATAGAAGATGGGTGGGGGTGCTGGGCTGGACCTCTGTCCTCCCCACCTGAGAGAAGTCAGGCGTGACTGCTTCCTCCTCATGGCTAACCGCTCTCTCAGGGACTCCAAACCACAACTAAGAAAATGAAAAGGAATAAACAAAAAGCAGCTACATGGGAACAGTCATGTAAGGGGTCAGTGATCCTAACTTTCCAAAGGAGGTTGTCCTTTTTTCCCTGTCGTCCTGCATCCCCACCTGACTCCCAGAGGCAACAGGGAAAACAAAGACGGAGTCAGAGTAAGTGTGGGAAAGCTGTCCAGCTGTGGTTGCTCTGTATCTGTTTACTGAAAAAATCCAAAACAAATATCTCGACGCTTCCACCCACTTAAACTTGCTGTGGATCTGCTCCATGTAGACTGTCTCCATGGATACTCCCACTTGAACCCAACCACCTACACAAATCACGACAGTGTGTGGACCCCAGGTCACATGCACCATTTCTATCCTTCAGGACTCCTTGGCATCCAGCCCCTCTGTCCACAACATCCAGGCCTCACAGCCAAGGGTACCTGACCCTGCCAGACCCCCAAATGCACTAGCCCAGTCCCACATACCCACTTCTAGCCAATTTCGACACTCTAAAGATTCTTGGGTCGCTCTTCCACTTCTACCTCAGTGCCCTGGGAGCACACCCCACAAACCAGCCGGGAACTGGCACGCTCACTTCTGTCCCTGCTAGCACTGCTCCAGCCCTCCAAGTGTCTGCATCTGAAGGAAAAGGATAAGGCTTCATTTTCCCCAGTCCCAGCAGGCAGCTCAGAGAAACAAAACGTACTTGTTGGACACCTAATTCCTTGGCAAGACTTCACCCCAGTAACCCCTGGTCTCTCCATCACCCCACCCAGCACACCTCAAACCCTTGCCAGACTGGGCTGCTAACACAAAAGAGAGCGCTCAGGGGCACCTCAGAGTCTGGACACGTGGGAGAGTCAGCCATGCATCATCCCACACTTGAAAGGGAAAAGGGAAAGACAGGAGGGAGTCCTCTGCCAGGCCCATGTCTTAGACAGTCAAAATCCAGACAATCACATGGCATGCTCCGTGCCTTGTGGCCGCTGGGATGTGGCCAAGAGGAGGGAAGGAATTCTTCCTCCGCTGGCATGTGCAGCGAGTGGACTATGGAGGCAGACAAAAGTTCACAGGATCATTAGCTTCTTTGATAACTCTGTGGTGACACATTTCCCCAAAGAAAAAGGAGGAAATGTAAACTGTTCTTCCCCAAGCTGAGCACTGGGGAAGGTAATCTCAAACACTGGGCATTTCTGGCTGTCTGGCACTGCCGGAGGTCAGGCTGACACATAACGTCCAAAGAGAGAGGGACACAGGCAGAAGGCAGCAAAGTCAGGGGAGGTCCTTGGGCCAAGGCTGTCAGGGTTTGCTCAATTGCTCCTGAGCCCTCTCACACACATGCACACACGCACATGCCTCAGCAAGTCAGACTTCCAGAGCCAGAAAGTGGGTGGGGCTAAAGCATGAGTTAATCTATTTCCTGCCCTCTTCTGGTATAAAGGGAGGCAGCTGCCTCCTTAGCTGCACAGCTGCATCTGGCTGCAGGGCGAAGGGTACTGTCAAGAGAGACACACATCCTTTCCAGCAGCAGAATCACCACAATCAGCAGCAGCAGCAGCAGCAGCAGGGCAAACCGCTAGGCACAAGGCACCTTGAGAACTTCAGGTAAGAGAAAAACAAACCCTCTCTATCTCTTCCCTTGGGTTAAGATAGAGAATGTCCCTCCACAGAATCTCCCAGTCCAAGACCCCCACTTTGCCTCTGTCCATCCCCCACGCCAAGGCCTGCAGCCCTAAGTTGCCCCCGCCCTAGCAGAGTTTGCAGAATCTGAACCTGTCATGGTTTCTTAATGAATTTTACCCTTGTGTTTATTTAGCATCTGTCAGCAGCAAACATGGGAAGCCTGGCCCATGGCTGGGATGTTGTCTCCCCTCCCCATTCGCCATTCTTCTAGAATTATTCCCTCATCAGATTCGTTCCCCACTTGCCCTAGGATGCAAATGGCTCCAGTCTTTGCCAGCCTAGCTCTGGGCCTGGCCCTCATCTTTGGCGAAGGATCTGCCTCATACCATCGCCAGTCCCAGGTGGCCCAACTCGCCACAGACTTTGGAGTGAAGGTGTTTCAGCAGGTGGCACAGGCCTCCAAGGACCGCAATGTGGTTTTCTCACCCTATGGGGTGGCCTCAGTCCTGGCCATGCTGCAGGTGACAACAAGAGGAGAAACCAGGCAGCAGATCCATGCGGCAATGCAATTCGAGGTTGAAGGTGAGAGATGGGGCAAAGTAGGAGGCAGGCACTCATGCATCCTTCACAGAACTGGGGTGTGACCAACCAGAAGCAGAGGAAAGGCTGACTCCGGCTTAGTGGAGCCAACACCTGTACTACCATGTCATAGGGACCATCATACCCAGTGTCACTTAGCCCTTGACAAGTCGCAGAATGTACAGGCCAGTGAATTTGGTGTAAAATAGCCTTGCATCACCACTTATTAGCTGCATAGCTTTAACCCCTCTGAGGTTCAGTGTCCTTATTTACAAAATGGGGATAATAAGAGTACCTAGCACAGACCTGACTGCTGTGGCTCAGTGGGCCAGGCATTGTCCTGCAAACTGAAAGGTCGCTGGTTCAACTCCTGATCAGGGCACATGCCTGGGGTGCAGGCCCAGCCTCCTCGTTGAAGGTGTGCGAGGGGCAGGTGACTGATGTTTCTCTTCTTCTCTTTCTCCCTCCTTTCCTCTCTCTCTAGAAATAAATGAATAAATAAAAAACATTTTAAAAGAAGAGTACCTAGCACAGAGAGCTGTGTAAGGATTAAATAGAATTGTATATATGAAGTGCTTTGTATAGCTATTATTATTATGAGAAAAAAACTAGGATTTGTAACTTAAAAACAGAAAAATATTCTAACCCCCCAAAAGGATTAGGGCCTTAGATTTTTGTGAAAAAGAGGGAATGCAAAAGAGATTAAGGTTTAGAATGAATTCCCCCTCCAGAGACACCTAGGAGAAGAGAAGAGCCCCTCCATGAGGGCAGGGTGAGGTGTCTCATGGGGCAAGTTTGCCCAGCCAGGACTCCTGATTGAACATGAGCCTGATGTGTCCTTTCCTCCCACCGTAACAGAGAAGGGCGTGGCCCCTGCCCTCCATCAACTGTACAAGGAACTCATGGGGCCATGGAACAAGGATGAGATCAGCGTCGCCGATGCCATCTTTGTCCAGCGGGATCTAAAGCTGGTTCAAGGCTTCATGCCTCACTTCTTCAGGCTGTTCCGGACCACAGTCAAGCAGGTGGACTTTTCAGAGATGAAGAGAGCCAGGTTCATCATCAATGACTGGGTGAAGAGACACACGAAAGGTAAGCAAGCAGGGAAAGGAGGTTGGTCCCAAGAGCCTACCGAGAAGGGGGATTTGGAAACAAATCCCAAATATCCCAACCATCCCAACCTCTCCCTTTCAGTATTCTCTTCTTTGTAGGCAAAAGGTCAACTGCTTTAAGAATCAGTCATAGTTTTCAAAATTAGGCCTTCTCATGAACCAACTCTAAAGGCATCCCTAAAAAGTGCTGTAAGTTTTCATTAGAATGGTAATAACCACAATGAACAGCACACCAAACCCTTCAAGACTATAGCTTAGGGAGCAAAGGAAGGGAAGACTTAAGTTTCCAGATCTGATCCTGGACAAGATCCCAGGCGGAAGAGAGTGTGGTGAGCTAGGAATATTGGAACACGTTGAAAACAGCTAGACTGGTTTACCTAAACTCTCAGGCTATCTTCTGACTGGATCGCTTCGATATATACACATCCATTTGAGGCCTGGGAGCTGAAGGGGGTCCATCTAAGAGGATTAAAAAAATATCTAGCTCTTGACCACCTGGTTTCCCCATAGGCATGATTAATGACTTACTTGGTGAAGGGGCCGTGGACCAGCTGACACGCCTGATGCTGGTGAATGCCTTGTACTTCAATGGCCACTGGAAGACACCCTTCCAAGAAGAGGGCACTCACCACCGCCTCTTCCACAAGTCTGATGGCAGCACTGTCTCGGTGCCCATGATGGTTCAGACCAACAAGTTCAACTACAGTAAGTGCAAGACTCCCTTCCCCAAGTCCCACACCTACTGGAAGTCATCCCTGGGTGCCCCCTCTAAGGGAGGAGAAACCCTAGAATATACCCCAGGTTTAACAAAGACTTTCCAAATAAGAAACCCGAGGATAATGGGAGCAGCAGAATGTAGCTTTATCTTATACAAGATGAAGCTGAAATCCAGCAATTCCTTAGGCCCACATTTGACCACTTGAACCCTGTCTCTCATCCACCTGTGTTTCTAACGTGATTACCTAGGGCCCACAAATCTTGCTGGGAGAAGGCTATGGAGAAGTTGATATTCAGGAGATGAGGATTGGAATGAATTAGGGGCTGGGTATGGGGGAGGGGAAGTGAGTATAAAGAAAGCCAGAAAGAAATAGAAACCAGAAGACACTGAATTGGTGGGAAATGGAAATGAAAACATTGAAGAGGGGAGTGGTGGCTGCGGGAGCACCAAAAGGCAGAATGGAGAGCTGGCTTCCAGAAAGAATGGAGGGGATAGAACTAGTTGAAAACCCAGCGCTGGGTTAAAATCAACAAGAGCTGGAGCCATTTTAATGTATCTTCACAGCTGAGTTTTCCACCCCTGATGGCCACTACTACGACATCTTGGAACTGCCCTACCATGGGGACACTCTCAGCATGTTCATTGCTGCTCCCTATGAAAAAGAGGTGCCTCTCTCTGCCCTCACCAACGTTCTGGATGCCCAGCTCATCAGCCAGTGGAAAGGGAATATGACCTGTCTGCCCCGCCTCCTGGTTCTGCCCAAGTAAGCCACACCCCCCTTGCCAATGTCCTAATCCCTTCTATTCCCCGCCTCCACTCTTGCCTAAAAGCACCACTCCCATGTTGATTTTCCCAAATGTGATGTTTGCAGGGCAGGGTTATGTGTGGGAGGCTGATGGGAAACACTCTGGCCTGGGTTTGATTATGATTTCTCTCCTCATCCCATTTCTGCTGGAGGGCAAGGAGTTTTCTAGACTATGCCCCCACATGTACCTCTCTCCAAATATCCAGAAAAAGCCAGCCAAAGGAAGAGCCAGGGAAATAATAGAGATGGGAGGCTAAATATGCCTTCACCTTTGTATGAATGTCCTTCACTCCCACCTCCATCTCTCAAGCCAACATCCAAACAATGGGGACAAAAGGAATGACTTCTGCAGATGGAGTGGCTGGAACTTCGGCATCTAGCTGGCTTCCAACAAAGCAAATGTGTAAAATCTTTCTGCATAAGCAAAGAGGGTGGAGAAGGCTGAGACTGAGTAATTCCAGAATTGGAGGGAAGCCTCCTGCCATGCTTACCCCAAATTTCCATATACTATGTCAGGCTCTGGGGAAGAAAAAAATTTAATTGGTTAGTTCTCATTCTCTCTTTTTCTCTCCCTCTTCCTCCCTCCCATTCTCTCCCTCCCTCCCATCCTCCCTCCCTCCCTCCCTCCCATTCTCTCTCAAAAACTGAGGTAATTAGCTGTGCCTTTGGGGAGCAGAGAGCACCCCAAAGCCTCGCTGCTCAAGTCCTCTTCAGAGTTAACTCTCAGAAATACAATCTACAGACTAGATTTTGTTCAAATGGCCTTGCAGGAGAATTTGCCCTTGTCTCCTACCCCACATCAGCCAGACTGAATAACTACTACCTTATTTGAGAAAAGTAATTAGCTATAAGCTCAAAAGGGTTGGGAAGTTGCAGAAGAATGTTCATTAATCCTAGAACCTCCAGCAAGCAGAGAGACCATGCAAAAAATATTTGAAATAACAAATCTTCCTCTTTTACTTTCATATCAGTTCCAATCCTGTCAGGCTGCTGGGGTGATACCTGGTAGGGACTGGGAGAGGTGGCTGGAGGTAGACTGAGCTTAAGCTGTTTCTTGCTCTTTCTCTAGGTTCTCCCTGGAGAGTGAAGTCAATCTTAAGAGGCCCTTGGAGAACTTGGGGATGACTAACATGTTTAGTCCAAGCCAGGCGGACTTCTCGAGTTTTTCAGGTAAGAGATTTTCTTTTCACTCTCTTATCCTGGTGGACTGTGCAGCCCCTTAGAAGACAAAGAAGCTTTTCCCTGAAAACCGTGGCTGATCTACTCTTCCATCCACCCGTTTCAGATCGAGAGCCTCTCTACGTGTCGCAGGCGCTGCAAAAAGTAAAGATCAAAGTGAACGAGAGGGGCACGGTGGCGTCCTCCTCTACAGGTGAGTCAGGCTCAGGTGTCGCCTGGCGAGTCTCAGCCCAAGGCTTACAGGAGGGACCACTATGGCAACGAAACCTAGGATGAACCCCTTCTGCCCTACTCTGCCAGGTCTCTCCTCAAAAGCAGCACTTCCTATGCAGGGCGTATTGCCTTTTCCTCTCTAGTGTTTCCCAGCCTAGAAAATGGGTCTGCTTTCCCTGGGACTCTGTTCCTTTACCCAGTGGCTCCTGAGGTCCCCTGAATATGAAAAGCTTCCCAAAGGAAAGCCCCTATGTTGTCCTCACAGTGGCTAGTCAACCAAAGGAACTTGCTTATCAATATGGCCTAAAAGGGTTTAAAATGTCTGTAACAGAACAACTGATTGATCTCTTCCAAACTCCTGGAGAAAACCAGGCCTTCAGAGGACTACCCTAAACTTTTAGGGTTCATGTCCAACAGAACAATGGAGCCTCCTAAAAATCATCCCCCAGTGCTGCCACCAGACGGAAGGCTGATGCCAATGGATCACTTGTGATCAATCCAGGAACCAGTGCCGACATTCCTCTGCTCTAAGACATTGTCCCTTCTCTTCCAGTCATTACTGTCTCAGCCCGAATGGCCCCCGAGGAGATCATCATGGACAGGCCCTTCCTCTTTGTGGTGCGGCACAACCCCACAGGTGAGCCCGAGGCCCACGGTGCCCCACCGCTTCGCGCACCAGTGCAGGCAGGTGTGGACGCCACTCTTACCCCGGGACTCTAGGCAAGGAGTCCGTAGCTCTGTTCCTCTTCCTCTCCTCTGAGGCAGTGCTCTATCACAGACACAGGGCTGTGCCGGGACCCCAGTCCTAGCTCGGTCACTAAAGTAGCTGTGACTCTGGACATCTCACTCATCTCACATCTTAGTTCAGCCATAAACGTCAAGCTTGGTGAGCTGTGCCATCCCTTCCAATTCTCACCTCACATGATTCTTCCATTCTTAGGAACGGTCCTCTTCATGGGCCAAGTCATGGAACCCTGACCATGAAGCCCTCATCTGGGACAGACTGGAGATGTATCAGAGAAGAAGAAACTCTGAAGAAAAGAACTTTTGAAATGTTTCAAAAAAGAAACATTTATTTTATTTAATGTTTCTGAAGAAAGAGAAGACATTTGCCTTTTTTAAAAAAATTTAATGGTAGATCTGCCTTCTAGACCTCAGCCTCTCCCAAGGGGAGGGGGAGGGGACCTCTCAGTAAAACTCCTCAGTGGAGACCCTGGGACGGACCTCTGAAGCCTGGCTCCCTGAAGGTCTCCAAACCAGACTGTAAAACTCTCAGAGCCGCTTGTGCAGCTGCTTCTGCCCATCGCTCTGCCTGTTTGGGTCCTCAGATCTGGATCCCACTGAGGCCCTGGCAGGATGGCACCACAAGGCTCACAGGAGCTTTCATGTGCTCGGTAGCAACTATTTGTGTCCCGGTCACGTTGCCATCACTCCTGCACTGTCTGCCACTGCTGAGGAGGCTGGCGGGAGGCCAGAGAAGACCAATGGAAGAAACGCTCTTTCAGTGCAAGGTCCGTCCTTCGCAGCTCAGAGGTGCAGTGGAATAGCAGAGCAACAGCCCACCCAGTGCCCATCCAACCTGGGCTGGTCGTCTCCCTCCCCAGAAACAGTGAGCATATATTATTTCAGAGTGTAGGGGACTTGTTTACTTATAGAAGCAGGTTTCTGCTTCCCACAAACTTTATTTTGCAGGAATAGAGGAAGAAGGTATGCCTGGCTCTTGGCTCCAACCTCCTAGTGGGGAGGGTGGGACGCCAGGAGTGTGCTTGAATATTTATCACATTCTTGGGTGCCTGTTAGAGAGAAAGAGGACTATGGAGAAAAGCATATTATTTAAACTTGCTTAGAGTGTTCCTTTGTGGTCAGTGTCATTGCACCTCAGGAGTCTGGCCATGTAACTGCCATACCCCTCTGGGTGGCAAGCACGAGGGGCTCACACTGCCACCTTGTGGCTGCCTGAAGCCCATCGCTCTTCTTTCCTTGTCTTTCCACAGGATGGATTACGACCCCTGCCAAGGTTTTCCGACTTCACCCCTTTTAGGGACCAAAAGGATGTGGTGTGTGAGAGAGATTAGCATGAGGACAGAGTGGTTTCAAAATTTTCCAATGTATTTAGGAGCAGGAGAGCAAACGGATGCACGACCTAGCAGGACAGAACTTTCCCCAATTATAGGGTGACTCACAGCTGCACTGGTGACTCACTTCAATGTGTCATTTCCGGCTGCTGTGTGTGAGCAGTGGATATGTGAGATAGAGGGAGAGAGAAATTGAGAGGGAATGAGAGAGAGAGAGAGCAAGTGAATTCAGGCTCAACTACCCTAGTTAGATAATCTTTCTGAAAAGCAACTAAGCTAAGGGGTATGGCATGAAGACCAGTTTATTGAAGAATTGCACCTAGATGTTGAATGAATGCAATCTAATAGAATCCTAATCATCCCACTCTTCAGTGAAACATCTTGTTTCTTTGTTTTTTTCCCTTTTTTCTTTATGCACTGGACAGTGATATCCACACACTGTACTCACAAGGATACCCAAATGTGGAGTCCAATGTTCTTGAACTTGTGTTGAATTATATGCTTTTCTCACTTCTGATGTATAGAAAGTAAAAAAAAATTTTAAACAATAAATAAATAAAAAGAATATCCTAAAACTGTCCCTGCCTTTACTTTCCACATTCTACACAGTACCAAATCAAAATTCTGTCACTTCCTAGCCCTCTTGGGTGGAAGGGATCTTCAGGGAACAAACACATGGGCCCAGGCACGTTGACTTGCCACAGGTAAGTCCCCAGGACTGGCTGCTGGGGCTCAGCAAGAAGGCCCCAGGTGCATGCTGTATGGGCATGAGTCTTCCTCCGGGCATCATCCTGGAAAAAGAAAGGGGGTTCTCCAAACACTTTCCACCATCAGACAGGCCTGCTCACACCCCCTGTCCCTGTGGGTTCCCATCTCCATTCGTGCCATTTCCTTCTACCACCAAACGGCCCCCTCCCCTGCACCTACCCCTCTCTCCGTTTCTCAAAACCCAGACTAAGTCCATTATCTCCAACCAGCATTCCCACGGATCCAGTCAACATCACTGCACTCCAGTTGGCATTTGCTGGTTTTTCCTTTTCCTTGTGTTTAACAGGGCTTTCATTCATTTATGCTCAGTGGGCATGTACCCCCACCCCCATCTACGTATCAGGTTCCTTGAAAACAAGGCTCTTTTGTTATCCACACTCTTCATATCCTCCTTAAAATGGCATTCTGAAAAGCCTTTTATTTTCTTCCTCTAGTATCTTGAAGCCTTTCCCCAGAAGACATATGTTCTCCAATTAGTTTGTTTATATATTCAAAACTATTTTCCAAACTGAAAAATTACCAAGAATTATCTGTCACAATCGTGTGCCACCCATCTCCAGGACCCGCAAGACAAGACTGACGGACTCAGCCCCTGGAATCCTAGATCATATCTAAATAGAAAATAATGATCGTCTGCGGGGCGGGGGGGAGGGGTATTGGTCAAAACATGTACGGTTAAGAGATTATGAGTCACTGGAAGTGTTCTAGGAAAGCCAGGGTGACCGCTTGGTGGGATGCCTCAGCAGTCAGGGTATAAGATAAGGCGACTTTTTTTAAGTGATAAAGAACGCATGCATATTGAAAGACATTCAAACAGGGTAAAAGTGAGAACTTAGTAGGCCCCAGGTTCTTGGGTATTTCCTCAGAACTTTGCTAAGCATTTATAAGAATATTTAAAATATGTTATTTTTACATAAGATCATTATATATATTATATACATATAGATACATATATCATATATATTTCTGCAGCTTGCTTTATTTACTTAATGATACATCCTATATACTGTTCCTAATTCTTTTCACCAGCTGCATATATAGATGTACTATAATTCCTTAACTACTGAAGATGGATATTTTGGATTTCATGGCTTTTTAAAATTGTCATTGTTGTTACCAACAATGCTGAGATGGATATTCTTGCATGTTTAGCCCTTGTACATGTGCTTGTATATCCATAGAATAGCTTCCTAGAGATGGAACTAAGTACCTTTTAAGGACCTCCCAATCCTGCAATTCTGTGATTTTGGTAATATAAACATTTTCAAATGGTACAAAACAATAAAAGGTGATCTTTGCTCGGTTAGAATCTTAACTTCACTCAAGCTTAAATAAGCTCTCACAACCTTCCTAAAAAAGCTCACTGCTGTAAATAAAAGTAAACTTTAGACCTTGAACTAAAAGGAACCTTCCTATTTTCATTCTCTCTAAAATTATGTTAGACTTCCTTGGAGCAAATTTTGATCATGATGTAAATCCTAAAACATTGATTCATTTACTTACTCCCCAATCATTCAACATGTACTAGAGGCCAATTCTCTGCCCTTTGCATTCCTGGTTTCCTCTCAAACTTCACCAGAGGCATTCTTGGGAGTCTCCGCATGATACACTAAGACAACAGTTTTCAACCCATGTGCTGCAGAATTTTTGTTTATTTATTTATGATTGTATTTATCTATCTTCAGAAAAAGGAGAAGGGAGGGAGAAAGAGAGGGACAGAAACATCACTGTGTGGTTGCCTCCCACGCTTCACTACTGGGGACCTGGCCCACAACCCAGGCATGCGCCCGGACTGGGAATCGAACTGGTGACCCCTTGGTTCACAGGCCTGCACTCAATCCACCGAGCCACACCAGCCAGGGTGCCACAGAATTTTTTAAATGTGAATTACCTATTTAGTCAGGGGCACTGATCTCTTTTCCCTTAGATTGTCGCATTAAAAAAATGACAACAGCCAACACAATAATAGCTGTCTGGTGTGAATGAATCAAAATTATATCTATTTTTTGTCAGATCAGCAAAAATAAATTACATTTTTTGATGTGCTGCAGAATTTTAGTTATTAGTTTATATATGCCATGAGATGAAAAAGGTTGAAAATGCTACATTAAGGTATTCAAAGGAGATGTGCTTGTCGGATACCTCCTCCTAACGAATTCCTCTCTTCAGGTTTGCCTTCTTCAAGCTCTCTCTTTGCCAAAAGCTGATATAGTCAGAAAGAACCCAAAGCTCATTCAAGCCTGGAAAGAAGGTTTCCCTCTGTCCTTAGAAAGCCAGTGGGATGCAGGGCAAGATCCAGAGGAAAGAAGGCCCAGAATGGGTGGCTCACTAACATTACTCTCAGATTTAGAGAGAAATGCTCTTTTCACCTCAGTGCGTTTTTCATCTTTCTTTTCCTGTACCACTGGCAAGCTTTGTAGGACAAAGATATGGTTGTAGAAGTAGAGAAAAAGGGCCAAAGAGGACCTTTGGCCTACTTCTGTCTTAGACCATAGACGCAAAAACTAGATGTGGCTTGACTGAATTCACAAGACACTTCTACACCGAGATCTGTGGTGAGAACTTCAGCCGGTACTAAAGCAGCCCTCTCCCTGCAGAAATCATTCTTTCCTCTTGTACAGATCCCCCTTTGGGTTCATAGGGGTAGCTGGGGTCATGAAGACAATAGTCCAAGAACTTGGGGACAACAGGACCCAGATATATCTTTCCTCCTTCTTACACCCTGAAAATATGACCAATTCCAGGCACTGGGCTAGTGGCTGAGGAGTTACCCATCTGTAACAAATTTGCTTAGAAACGAAAAGAGCCTCTCTTTTTCCACAAGATGCTTCAAAAAGCAGAACAAGTGAGCCTTAATTCTACAGGATACAGTTCAAAAACTGTCTATACATGCTGAGGGGTCTCAGAAGACCTCATGATGGCAGAGAGCATTTGCTCCAGAAAGCATCCCATTTAACAGTGCCCTCTGTTTTATCAGATATTCTGAGGACAAAGATGATGATGTAGCCTCACAGGCTTTAACCGGGACCCCTCCTTCATCGTTCCAAGTCTCTTTTCCTCTCTCTATTTCTTTAAAGATAAAAAACCAACAAGCTCTGCTTTCAGCATCATTACTACAGATTTCTTATAAACTTCACACAGTGGAATTACTTATCTGCCTCCCCAAGTATGCACAATGAGTATGAACTTTATAAATCCCTCG